CACCATGCATTAGAAACCACCTGAAGGCACGCAACAACAGCAATCCACAAATTATAGTTGTTAATACTGTTCTCTCATAGTTGCTGTGGAAGCTGGTGGCTTCCATGCCCACTGGAGAGTAAATCTCTTCTGGATTTTAGTTTGGACCCAGTTTGTTTGTGCTAGAACCCTGAGCGGATTCACATTCCCACTGACATGGAAGCCTCCACCTGCTAGCATGGAATTTGTTTTAAGAAGCACTTGGGGGAGGTATAAAATTTGTGGCAAAGTGAAAGTGGGGAGGAAGTGAACAAATAGTGAGAACATTCTTGGGATGACAGTCGATGACCTGGAGAATAGAGCAAAGCTAGGAAAAAATTATTTTGGCTGACTTGGGGATTTGAGAAGCTCTAGAGCCAGCATGGCACAGCAGTTGGAGTGCTGCAGTATGACTGGAGACCAGGATTCAACTCCCTGCTTGCCCATGGAAACCCATGGTGATCTTGGGCAAGTCACACTCTCTCAGCCTCACAGGAACGCAATGGCAACTCCTCTGAACAAATTTGGCCAAGAAAACTCCATGATAAGTTCGCTATTAGGGTCATCATAAGTCAAAACCAACTTGAAGACACACAACAGCAACAAAGTTCTGAAAGTAATTATTTCTAGTTCTGGTACAGGGTTGGGCCGTGTTCAGAGGCTTCTTCCCTTACCATGAAAGCTGAAAGTACCCCTTTGGTTCATCCTTAAGAGCAGATTGCTGCTTGTATCTTGCACTGTTGTTGTTTTCAGATTCTCACTCCAAAGTGACCTGAGTTATTCTGTTCTTTTCCAAGAGATCGAATCACGTTGCTTTGCCGTAGACCAGAGAGCAATTCTGGTGGCGCTCCTGTGCTTTCCTTGAATTACAGCATCCTTTCCACTTGATGCTCCACCTGATAGTGCAACGTGTCTGCCAATCGCACGATTACATAAGCCTTTATTAATAAGGCTTAAAGTGGAAAATCAGACCCACTCAGAACAAGGGAACGAGAGAAAGCTGTATGGCATCCAAATGTCATTGGTACAGCTGACTGTATCCAGATAAACAGAAGGCAGCCATGCCCACCCCTGCAACCCCCCCCCCACTAGGGAAAGCTTTTTGTTTTAATTTAATTAAATCACATTTTTCAGCTGTCGGGCGGGACACTGTCAGTTTGCAGGGTAGATTTGGGGACTTGTGGGCTTCATGAATGTGCTCACTTTATAGGTATTTCTCTTTCTGAAGCTTTATCACAGCAGGTGTTGGGGGAACAGAGAATCAAACAGACCTCTGTTTCCAAGTAGTTTGTGATTGATATATATACACACACACATACAAAATAGGAGACATAGTTCACCACCATGCCTTCTCCCAGACACATTACCTGCCCTTACAATTCTATACTGTGCTAATAAGGTGACCTTTTCTTACATTTAAATTTTTTAATTTCATCCTAATGGATTCCACAATGACGGGTGCTTAGGGAGTTGTTATTTTTAAAAAATACAAAGAAGTAAAGCAATGCAGTCAGTGAGATGGTAAATGTGACATATTTTTGTATCTCCGTTAGTTGTCCTTCTCGTTGTTAGAAATTCAGCTCCAAATAGCTCTGTTTTACTTGAGTTCAGTGTCATTGCTAAATGATTTAAAGGTTGTTGAGCTGAGTGGATGTAGCCTGAAACCTCACAGAAGGAGAACAAAGCTCCCAAAAGGAAGAGTTTTATTTTGAACACATGAAAGAGCTTTGTGCCTGTGGTTCAAAGGCTGATCTTCCTTCCAGAGATAAAGCCTAGCAGAGAGAAAGGCACAGGCTCCACCTGCTTGAAAGACAGAAACAGCTCTGTTTGTATATGCACACAATGACACTGCAGTTCAGGTACAAGGAAAAGCATCTGCACAATTATTATTTTGCAAGATTGAAAGGAAGACTCCTCTGCTCTTGCTTGCCCCAGCCTGGGACGGCAGTTTGCAAATAGGAGAGTGGGTTTGTAGTTGTTTTAATTAATATGCAATGCGTTAGACGTGGCATAGTGGTTTGAGCATTAGACTACAACTCTGGAGACCAGGGTTCGATTCCCAGCTTGGCCATGAAACCCACTGGGTGACCTTGGGCAAGTCACACTCTCTCAATCTCAAGGGAAGGCAATAGCAAACCTCCTCTGAACAAATCTTGCCAAGAAAATCCTGTGATATGGCCTTAGGTTTGCTGTAAGTCAGAAACAGCTTGACGGCACACAACAACAACAGCATTAGACAGAAACACAGTTCTGCTCACCCAGTTGCCTGTTGTGCTAGGACAGGGAGCAAAAGTTACTATTTTAACTCTGTAGATATGCTTTAGGTTTCCATCCTATTGTCTGTCCAACTGGGTCACAAGTGCTTTGTGGGAATGCATTGTGTGAACCCCTCCAAAATGACCATAGAAGGCCATTTTCAGAACCTGAAAAAGTTACTGTTTGGACTGTTGTTATTGAGTACCTTCAAATCATTTCTGATTTATGACAACTCTTAAGACAACCCTATCACAGGGTTTTCTTGGCAAGATTTGTCCAGAGTGGGGTTGCCCTTGTGTTCCTCTGAGAGAGTGCAACTTGCTCAAAGCCATTCAGCGGGTTTCCATGGCCAAGCTGGAATTCAAACCCTAGTCTCCAAACTTGGAGTCCAACGCTCAAACCACCACACCATCCAACCCAACCCTTAGATTTGGTTCTGGGAATTGCAACCCAAAAGGTAGCTTTCCCAAGTTCAGATCTCTAGAGGTTTACAGGATTTGATAAAAACAATATCTTGATCTACCCTGAGCTCATGTAGTTGGAATTCACATGAATACATGTTTGTTCATTGTGACCTTAGAAAACCTGGGTAGCAGTTGCCTGTAGGTCATGCATTTTGGATAATGAGTCCCTGTTGATTTCATTCTACCAACACAGGTAGCATCAGTGAGAAGCAGAAGCGATTGCCTATGGGCAATCTTTTCTCATGGGGACAAGCTTAGTAGTAATGATACATCTTGCTTTGAGATGCTCAGGTTGCCACAGAAAACCAAGATCTTAATTTTAATTTTAAAGAGCATTATCTACTCAATACTTGTCAGTCTTTCCTCCGGAAAACAACTTGTGCCACATAAAATAAGAGGTGTCTTTCTAAAGGGAAACACAACCTCTACAGGTTTTCTGGGCAGGGTTGGGTACACAAGGTTGGAGGTCAACATACCGATACAACATCGGGAAGAGGGCATCTTATTTGTAACAGCGATGGCAATTGCTTTTAGTGATGCTCCACAGCTCTGGTTAGAGGTATTAGGGTGTATCCACACTGCAAAATTGTAGCAGCCTGACACAATTTTAACTGCTATGGTTTTCTCCTATAAAATTTTGGGATTTGTAATTTGGTGGGGCACCTTCCTCATAGTTTTAAGTAGTACTTTCAAACAGACAATTCAGAATATCCCCTTAGCAAACTACAATTCCATAGGAAGGCAGTTGAAGTGTTATAATTGTGTAGTATGAATTCGTTGTTGTGTGCCTTCAAGTCATTTCTGACTTATGGTGACCCTATGGCAAACCTTTCATGGGATTTTTTTGGGGGTGAGAGTGTGTGACTCACCTAAATAGGTTTCCAGAGTCATAGTCCAACACTCAACCCACTATGCCACATTGGCTCCAATACACCATGGATACACCCTTACATAGAACAAAGTACTGGCCCCCAGGGGCACCCAAAGTATTTTGATATGGCCCCAGAAACAGATAGAAAATTGGGATTTGCTGCAAGACAGAAAACCTGCTTTTCATACGCAACATATGAAAAGCAATACATCCAACAATAGTATAGAGATGTGAGTCCATTCTTGGGCTCTTATTCCTCACACATTTATTCCAATCATGGATTGGGAAAGATTCCCAGTGGCTTCTAGTTCTCAGGCACTTAAAATTTAAATGTTTAAAACAATAACACACACACACACACACACACACACACACACATATATATATATATGTTATTGAGCATTGTTGGTTTCCATGTCAATTGGGTGATCAATCCACACTGGGGTTTAGTCTGAACTGGAAGAGGGCTATCTAAAGTGCCAACCTCTATCCTCAAAAAGATTTAGCACCTTGAATGGCCCCATAAAGTTTGGAGTAAAGCTAACAGTGGATTCCTGTCCAGTTGACACATAAGCCACTGCCTACAACTGATAGGGGCCTGACACTGAAATCTACATTTCTGGTACCTGGATGATAGTCCAAAGACAGTCAGAGAGTCATAGCCCAGAGCAAGTCTGATAACATTGTTGAGAAATGAAATCCAACATTCCTAGAAGACTCAGGGACAAAAATGTCCTTTTCCCAGCAGGGCAGGTTCCCTTCAGTCCAGGGGTCTAAGCCAAAAAGTATACCAAACAAGGACCCTTTCTCACTACACAGTTATAGCAGTATGATTCTACTTTTAACTGCCATAGAAGCATCCTCCAGAATCCTGGGATTGGCAGTTTAGGGAGGGATATTTAGAATTCTCAGCCAAAGAGCTCTATAGCTGCTGAATACCATAGGATGCACAGCAGTTAAAGTAGAATCATAGCACTATCAATTGTGTGATTTGAAAGGCTCTCATCAGATAAGGACAATACAAAAATAGACTTGCACAGGAGGCTCATTGTTAAATGCAACAGGGTGGTAATGCCTCCAATGGAGAAACCAAAGTTGATAACAGGCTGATTAGGAGCAAAGCATGCTTTGTTTCTGACTTTTCATTAAAGTGTGGGATATCTAAAAACACAGATTTGTGGAGCTGAAAATCTGCACCACCTCATCCCTCCCTTCAGGCAGCAAAATGCCTTGGGCCAGCCTGACAACTCATGCAATTGTCTTTCCAGCACTTGGAAACAAATGGAAATGCTTTCTTGGAAAGCTGAATGCAGACATCATAGTATTGTGGGTGGGGAAGATTAAGATATGGTCATTTGCGGGGAGGATTTTACAGAAAATCAGAGATAAAGTCATTTCTGGGCTGTACGTCACCAGCTAAATGCTTTTAAGCTCTACTGGCAGATTGTCTTTACCCACTTGTCTGCCAGGATACATCTATTTATCCAAATGGATGGAACAGATAAAACCCTTTGACTGGGGGGCGGTGGATTGATTTGACACTGTTGTCTTCCAGGATGCTGCTGCTCAAAACCCTCCTTCTTTCCCTCCCTTCCTAGTACTTATACATTGCTTTCCTGCCCACTGGCCTTCCCCAAGCCATGAGCCATAAAATTTCATTTAAAAGCAGTTTGAAAAAAATTCTAAAAGACAAATTTATGCACCAGTTTTAAAAATCAAAGCCAAGATCAAATGGTGCAATTTGGCATCCCATCCCAGCAGAATCAGGACTAGGGCTGTCATGTCAAGAATATCTCAGGCCCTGAGATTTCAAGGTCAAAACCTGAGTCGGGGGGGAACCATTGAGCTGTTGGAACTTACAAAAATCGAAACAGACATGTACAGATAAAAACACTACAAAGACGTACTATAACTATAAAACATTGTCAAAATGAAAATAAACTATAGAATTAAAATCAAAATTGGCAGCTTTAACTTGTAGGGTACAATCCTCAGGGGAAGATCTCCCGATGAAATGAATAGGTCAGTGTCCTGTCATTAACTGGGAGAATGCTGTTTGAACTGTCCGCCGCAAACACCAATATGTTTTGGGCTGGCACTCTGACAGCAAAGCAACGTTTAATATGGGAAAGGGAAAAGAAATACAGTAAATACCCATATATCAAAATCTAGCTTGAGTTCCAGAATGTGATGGAACTTTGCTCCAATCAACCCCAGTAAGGAGAATGGACTCTTAAATCAGCAGCTAGCTCACCCTGTGCTGAAGATGCTCTCTGGCCCTTTGCCAGAGCATTATCCATCTGGGAGTTCAGCCTCCAATAAGCATCCTTGACGTCAGCAGCTGCTGCTTTAATGCATCCTCGGCTGTATAGTTCTGTCTACTGACTAATAACACCGCCTTTCCTTCTGGGGTGCAGAGCATCATTTGGGCTGCAACTATATGTCTGCCTCGTCCCTGATCAGGTCAGAGTGTGCAGCCAGGACCCAGCAGCTTTGGAGAACCATTGTGGTTAGGTAGCAGAAGAGTACTGAGGATACCGTGGACAGCCAAAAAGACACACAAATGGATCCTTGAACAGATGAAGCCAGAAATCTCCCTGGAAGCCAAGATGATCAAGTTAAGATGTCGTACTTGGGCCACATCATGAGAAGGCAGGACATTAGAAAAGACAATAATGCTAGGAAAGGTGGAGGGATGTAGAAAGAGAGGAAGACCGTACGCTAGATTGATAGACTCTATTAGGGAGATCATGGCTATGAATTTACAGGAACTAAGGAGAGCAGTGGAGGACAGGGAGTCTTGGAGATGTCTCATCCACAGGGTCACCATGAGTCAGGATTGATTCAAAGGCAGTCAACAACAACAACAAAGCAGGACTGAAGGGAGAAAATGATACAGAGAATAAGGACATGCACACTCCTTCCAATACATACGCACAAGTGTGTGTGTGTGTGCCTTCATGCCACCGGTTGATGTATGGTGACTTTATAGGGTTTTCTTAAGAAAGGAATACTCAGAGGTAGTTTTGCTAGTTCCTCTGAAATATAGCTTACAGCACCTGGTATTCAATGGTGGTCTCCCATCTAACCTCGGTTGATCCTGCTTAGCTTCCAAGATCAGGAAAAAAATGCATATTTATGGCATTAGAAAGTGGGAAAGAAACATAAACATGGAGAGGGAAAGATAAGTAGCCTCTTCTCCTGGTTTCATTCATCAGATGTACTGAAGACAAATGAGAAAAGGCTCTGCCTCCCATTTCATGCACAAAGGCTGACCAGAGATAGGAAATTGGCTTAAAGTGAGTCAGACTACTGGCCTGTCTTGTCCAGTATAGTGAACATTATTAATATCCTCTGGATATTCAGGCAGGATTCTTTCCTAGCCTTTCCTCCAAAATCAGATGCCATCAGGGTGGTACCAAACTTGCAGCTGGATCTTATGACCTTTTCCCACTTCCCTTGAGGGCAGCAGACTAGCTC